TAGTAGGTACTTGTCACGACAGTTTATTGCAAAATCGAAAAATGAGCTCGCGGATAAAACCATGCCTGCAACCATCCTCGGGTATCAATTAGTGAGTGTACTTTTTAAGGCAGGCAGCAGCGGTGGCCGCAGTAGTAGACACTTCGGTCTCCTGATCAGTCGCCGTGCGCTGTGCGGGTTCGAGACCCGTCCCAGGAGAAATTTTTCTCTTGGCTATGGATGTTGTGTCCGTAGGTGGTAGATGGTCTCTGACTGTCGAACGCGGAGGTACCACCCGGCGGTTCTCGTAGGCGGAGCCAGAATGTGTGCATGTTGCATGCATACGTGTTCCCTCTCCAGAGTCCGTGTGGCGTCCCCCTCTTTCCCATGTATCCCCCTATAGCCCCACGGTACCCAATGGGTGCTTAGGCCTTAGGCCTTCGTGGTAGTTGGTTCAATTGTGAGGCTATCAGGCTGGATAGATATTTAGGGTGTTTCAAGGTCGATTTTGGAAACTGTAAGAGATACGAAGTCGCTCAAATGGGTGCAAGGTTGCGTATTTAGGTAATAAACAAAATACCGCTTAGAAAGTTTCGGAATTCAAAGTACTTCCTGAGAGAGACGGGAAAAAACAAATTTTCCCAAAATCAGTTTTGACTGACTTTATTTGTAATGGGATTTCAAAATGAATTGCACATTAACGCTGGCACTTTTCCTCCTTTATGACATGGCATGAGTAGAATTTCAATATGACGTTTCATCCCTTGTCCTCAAGCATTAACTTTATTTTTTCGTATAGACGCCATATTGTATTGTTACACAGATTAATAGGACTTTCAATCCTGATTCCAAAAATCTATGACGTTATTAGTTATTGAAATAAAGCAGAATTTCCTAGTTAGGCTTTAAAATTATCAGATAGTCATTTATTTCGTCTATTATATTTATCACTTTTATTTTTTCCTGACTTTATTTGAGATGGTATTCCAAAATAAATTACTTAATGCGCAATTTTGCTCCGCATTCAACCGACTTCGTATCTCTCACAGTTTCGAAGATCTCAATGGTGAGGGTCGAATTTGAAACACCCTGTATATAGAGATTCAATGTATCACCTACTAAGTATGAGAAGGTGGATTTCTTCGGGAGCACACCCATATATTTACCCTTTCCTTAGCTGGAATCGCTTTCTTCAGATGGCGTGGTCACATATCACGTTACCAAAGATCGTACTAGGAAGTAGTTAGGAGAGTATTGTCTCTAGTGTAGAAATAAATACAGTCCCACAGAAAAAATCAAAATCGAGATCTGTGAGACAGACTATGATATTTCAAGTATTTTTCGACACCAAATCCAAATCCGGGATCAGTAAAGTTCCTAGACGTCCAGAATTCACCCGCACGGCTATTATTTAAAAAACTTATAAAACGTCAAAAGAAAACAACAAAATGTCATCTTTCAGACTAAGTAGTTTTTAGGGTGCAAATAGTTCATTCCACGTTTGCTCGCTAAAAATGAGTTTAGTCATTGTTGGTTGCAACGCAATTGCAGAAAGCAAGTATATATTTGTGAAGCCGGGTAGTCTATAGTGTTCATCTGAGAAGATGTGAAAGAAAGAAAGTTGGTTGAGTAGCAAGATAGCATCTGGATGATTATGCGTATTGGTCTGCATGTGTATGAAATCAGTGATGTTTTCTATGTGAGAAAATTATTACTGAATATGCTGCTAATGAAGTACATATATCTATTAGCTGTGCCCGACGGGGTATGTTGTCCTTTCTAAAGACAGGTTATATTCAAAGTTATAAATTACGATTTTTCCATTTCTTTATGTTTCAAAAACTTTGCGGAACATTACGGTAAATGGCCACCGTGCCCGCGTTGTGTGCAATTAAGCCTCATCACAGAAAAATTGGGAATGTTGCATCACACTTCAACCATTATCGCAGTGCTGCACATCTAGGCGCTGATTTGTATTTTCTATTGACATCGCAAAATAAATTTCTATAAGATTTAAATTACTGGAAATAAAAAATAATGTAGTAACCTTTTCACATTTATAAATATTCATATCTCTAGCATTTTCTCACCTATTCCTTCACCAACCAGCGATTTGTCGGCATTTGAGGTCGAAAAACATCCACTTCCCTTGAATTCACCCCCGACATCGAGGCTACCCATAACGACGGGTGAAAATTGAGTTTCGAGTGATGGATGCTAATTCGTTGCATTGTTGGACACGCATTTTGGCAGTAATTTTTCCTTTTGAACCCAGAGCCCGATGATCTTAGTAAGATTATGGATGGGCCGTATACAGGGTTATCCAAATTAAGTGTCCACCATTAGTAACTTTGTTATTAGTGAAAATACAAAGTTGTTTGAATTAGCAAACTAGTAGCATTTTTAACGCTGGTAAAAATGAGAAATAAAAAAAAACAATTGAGAGTCGTTATTTTGATTTTTTTCAGTAAAATAACATTTTTTTAAATGGAAACCCCTGTATATTATATTTTTTTCTGTTAAAGCATCAAATTTTAAACAAAAAAGCTTACAATAACTTTTCTCCTAGGTTACAAATTGTTGAAGTTATGGCCTCCAATCTGAGACAATTAAATTGTATCGACAAACTTTATTTTCAACATCGACTTATAATCTTACAAAATACAATAACAATTTTTTTTAAAGAAGATGCTCGAAAACACCACCTTGTTCTTCAATACATTTTTGGGCACGTTTTCCAACTGCTCGAACTGTCTTAAGTATGGTCCTACCATCTATCTGGGTTATCTTTTCCCTAACTGCAATCTTTAACGCGTCAAGGTTATCGTACCTTCGCTTGTAAATTTGGTTCTTTAAGTAACCCCACAAGAAGTAATCAAGTGGGTTTAGATCTGGTGATCTGGGAGGCCACTGTATTGGGCCATTTGTTCCTATCCACTGATCATTAAAAGTAGTACTTAGAAAATGATAAGTACCTCTGGAGTTGTGGGCAGGTGCGCCATCTTGCTGAAAATGCAGATGATGTCTACTTATAAGATCCAATTCGTCTAAGAAATTAGTCAGAATTTCTGACATAAATTCCACATATCTTTCACCAGTTATGGTTCCCTCATAAAAGAACGGGCCAACAATTTTTGAACCAATTATACCGCACCAAACGTTGAAACTGAAACGGACTTGTGGGCCTCTTGGATGTACTAACAAAAGATTTTCTCTTGACCAATAATGGTGGTTTTTTCTATTAAACATTCCAGAATTTGAAAAATTTGATTCATCTGTCCATAAAAGGTAACGAAAGTTATTTACATTTGGCGACAGAAGCTAAGATACCAATGGCAAAAAACAAGTCTTCTCTCTGGATCCCCTGCCAAAAGCGTTTCAACTGGTCGGTACTTATACGGAATAAATTTGTATTTTTTTAAAATCCTTTGAACAGTACCATAACTGAAATTAGAGTCCTTGAGAATATCTGCTATTGAATTCTCACGATAAGCTTCAAAATATCCAATAACTGCAATTTCCGTGGCCTCGCTTATTATGAATTCTTTTTTTGCCCTTGTTTTAGCAAAAACATTTTCGTTGCCCCTAAATTTTCGATAAAGTCTCAGAAAATATCGTTCATACGGTTGAATGCGAGCGGGATATAATTCACTGTAGTATTCTCTTGCTCTCAAGGAGGATTTTCTGCACACTAAATAGCATTCTAACATATCACACTTTTCTTCATGGGAGAACATTTTTCTTTAAATTAATGACACAATAAAGCTTATAAACAAGTATTTACACTAAAGTTTGACATTATTTGATTTTATCATTGTTTTCCAAAGCCTTATAGTTGCGAGTATGTCCAGTTTAACAATTTGTCGCTTATCTTAATGCTGTCAAATCGCGAACGCCATGTTGTTTTCATAGCCGTCTTAATATTATAATACTGCAAATAATTAAAAATATTTATCGTTATTTTGACTTTATTTTTGACCTTAGCGGAAAAGTCATTATGAACTTTTTTGTTTAAAATTTGATGCTTTAACAGAAAAAAATATAATATACAGGGGTTTCCATTTAAAAAAATGTTATTTTACTGAAAAAAATCAAAATAACGACTCTGAATTGTTTTTTTTTATTTCTCATTTTTACCAGCGTTAAAAATGCTACTAGTTTGCTAATTTAAACAACTTTGTATTTTTACTAATAACAAAGTTACCAATGGTGGACACTTAATTTGGATAACCCTGTATACGTGAAATTCGGTTAAATATGGTATGTCGCGAAACCGGAAGTTTGTAAGAGGTCCGGTAGGTCTGTCGGTGTATGTATGTGTAGACCGAGTTCATACCACAGCATCTAGCATCCGGAGATCAATTTTTCACTGCTTTTAAGTTGTTGTTTTTGGCCCATGGGTGACTTCCAGGGGTATAAAGCTTTCGTTATCTTCAAATTTGGATTCATTGCCGAAAAATACATAGGAATACTATGTTCCAGCATCTGGCATCCGAAACTCAACTTTTAATCCTTCTAGTAATTTTCGACACCGGTGTTGAGCTCTAGAGGTCTTTTGGATCACAAATTCGGATTTATCGTCTAAAAATACATGAGATTACCTACCATGTTTCCGCATCTGGCATTAGAAACTCAATTTCCATGCCTTGTAGGGGTCGTTATAGGACTCGATGGTGAATTCTAGATGTCAAGGATCGTTTCTGATCCCAGATACCAATTCAGCGTCGAAGCATACATGAAATGTCGTGGCCTGTTTCACGAATCTCGACCCTTATTTTTTTCGTGGGTTTGTGTAATGCGTCTAACAAAAAAAAAGGATTGATACCATTTTCAAAATTTTTCGCGATTACAATACTTCCTCGCCGGTGATGTGGGAAGCAAAAGAGCTCAATTAACAAACCGAGTGGCCCCGGTATAAAAAGGTAACACTTAGTTGAGTTGATTCTCCTCAGCGTTGCAGAGTCCGTTTAATCTCAGCCAGGTCCATTTGTCTCAATCTTAAAAACAATGTATTATTTAAGGAGAAGGAAACAGTAGCAGAGTATCGGAAATTTGTTTGCCTTCTCTGGCCAGAGGACCGGATATGAGAAGGAGGGAGCGAACACGGGAACGAACCGGATACCAGATACATGGGAAACGTGTTGTAGAGAGATCCGCATGAGTATTACGTATCTTGAAAATTGATATTATGCCGATTTTTTCTTTTTGACATTATATTGGTGTTTTGTGACATTATTTAGGTTTTTCTACAAGATGTTAACTTAGCACTAGCTGATGGACACGTTGTGAACTCGTTTTGTAGTTGTACGTGTTGTCTAAACGTCATGAGGCTCCGGTTATCAACGTTTGGCTATGATGTGATGTAAAATCTGCTTCAGAGATGGCATTACTGGAGGTAACGGCAATGGATAGGTGCATAGTTAGGATTTGTGTGCTAATAATATGTGTCGATGATAATTCATTGGACCTTGTCTCAAATACACTTACTTGAAAATTCAAAGCTAGAAATTAGTTGCGGATCTACGTTTTGTTATCCATTCTAGAAACTACATATGCAAATTTGCTGAATTTAAAAATGAGAGAGATAAGAAATAATATAATATTCAGTAATGATTTACTCACACAGCAAATCACTGATTTTATACACATGCAGACCAATACACCAATCATCTAGATGCGACCTTGCTATCCACGCAAATAATCAACTTTCTTCTCAGTGATGAAAACAATAGACTGCTCGGCTTCACAAACATATGCAACCAATAATGCGTGTATACGTGCAGTTGAGCCATACCTGGACGCTCACAGCGGTCCTAGTAAGCACACGTAGAATGACTGTTTGCACCCTAAAGACTACTTAGTCTGCAAGATGACATCTTACGTTTTTTTTTGACGTTTTATATGTTTTTTACATAATACCCATGCGGCCCTCGTACTACGTAAAAAGTGACATTATATCGATTGTTAATGACATAATTTTTCCGAAAAATGTTACCATGGAACTAGCTGCCTTTCACTTCATTTTCACTTATAGCAGCAGTAAGTGTTTCCTAAATGTGATGTCACTTGAACTATATATGGCTTGGCTCTGATGTGATGTAAAATCTGCTTCAGGCATGGGACTAGTGAGGCCATTTGTAGCTTCTATGGACCAAGCTGTATGTTCTCTACTATTGCCGGAGTCACAGTGGTGGTGCCATTACGCCATAGATGGTGCTCATAGCGAGTAGGTGCGGAACAGTACACAAGTTGACATTATACCGAATGAGGCTTGAAAAAAAAGATTGTTCTTGTTCTCTGTTCCTGTCAAGCTTCTGAAAATGATTATTTTCTTCATTAGAGCGCACTACAAAGATACTGTACGACAATTTCATTGCAAAAGCTACTTACAAATTCCCTTCCAGGACACGCAATGCAAAAAACGAAGAAAAGAATTAATTAGTGAACAGTGATAAGGCACAGGTCTCAGAATAAAATATTGATCAACTTAAGACTCTTACTGATTGGAAAATTTGAAAAGTTATGTTGAATGCATAAATGTTCGATGAAGAAGACGAACTGGCAGTTAAGGTAGGTTAAAACGCAAAATTGGCATGCTCCAGAGCCACGATAGACACAACTTTGAAAAAGGCAGCTGCAGTTACTGTGCATGGCTAAATTTACAGTGTTGCCGAGATCGAATGACAAAACCAGGTAATAGGGACTGATCCATGTGAAAGGTAAGTAAGTTGCTAACGTTAGTTGGTTGTATTTTCTATCTGTTAAGGTCGAAAAACGTTTTCCATTATTATGTATATTGTTGGGTTATTCAAGAATCATTCCTTATTTCTCAATAGTTTTCTCAAATATGCCGAAATGTAAAGCTGATGGTGCTAGTCAATTGAATCATCCATTCATTCACTTGACTAGTTTTATTGTCATAAAGGAGGACCCAATCCTCTTTCAGCCTTAATGTCCATTATGATGCACATAAATCGGATCAGATTTGTGTTGTTCGAGCGAATCAGATATAACGGTAATCAAAATAACAGCATGTTGACATAATTCGCTGCAAGCTCATTAATAAATGAGGCTGGTTCATTCCGCCTGATTACGATATACGGTGCCTTCAGCGAATAAGCTGACTGTGACAATACAGGGTGTACATGTTATGATAGTCATTATTTAAATGGTGACAGAAGGTGTTAAAATAAGCAAAAATTTTCATATCACATGGGGGTCAAAACGGCATTTTTTTTTAGAAAAGCGACTTTAAAGTAAAAGAAAATCTGACAATGCCGCAATACAGACGCAAATTACGACGGAACGTAGTGTAAATAAAGATGGAGTTCGTTATTTTTGGCTCTTAGGTATTATTTCATTATTTGATAATGTACTCGTAAAATGCAAACAATTAAAAAAAACGGACTTAACACTTACTGTCTCAGCGCTTCACCTGGTGTGCAAAAGTTCATTGAACGTATTAAAAAAATCCACTTATAAATAAGGAACACAATTTTGATACATACATTGTTTTTCGTTTTAAAACCCACACTGCACTTTCTTGTATTCAAAGAAGGTGTTCAAATGTCATCCTCCACTTTCCACACAAGCTTCATTACAACCTTCACGAATGGGATGAGGATTTTCTTGGGCCCCACGTGTGAGTATTATGGAAATTTAAAATCGCGTCTCGCGTTAAAGTAGATTCGTACATAGCTAGAATGTTTTTGTGCAAAAGCCACTGACAGAATGTTAGTCTGCCATGATAGTCTTCTGATAACAAGGCCTGCACTCGTTGTACATGGTAGGAATAAAGCAAATTCTCCCGTAGGATTCTATAGACTATGGTACGCGATAGTCCAACGCGGCGGCCACGATATTTAAAATTGTTCCTCCTGCTCTACAGTAACCTGTATTTCACGAGTGCGAATAGTAGTCTGCTGCACACTTCCTGTATCTCGAAGTCTTTGGTACACTTGCACAAATGTCCTTCTATCTGGTACAACCCCGTTGGCAAATCTGTCGCGATAAATTTAGTTGCATGATTTGAATTCTGACGAGCTTCACCGTAAACTAACAACATGTCGGCGAACTCTTGATTCGAGAACATTGTAAATCAACAGGACGACGTACGCAACAAAAAACAAAACAACATGCTCACCACTGTTGTCGTTTGCGATCGATTGCCGTTTCGATAGAGTGCTGATGACCGACGCGCTGTTGTCATTTGTGTTTTAAATATTCAATTTAATGAAACTTACTTACTGACTGACTACAAATTTTGGCTTAACTTATAAAACTTAATGCCAATTACTTATTTATTACCCAATTTATAAACGTTTTGATTAAATTATAGAAATTAGTAAGATTGTGGTGATTGTGGTTGATATAAAGCCACTTAAAGTGTAAACTATAAAGCCATTTAGACAAAATCTATTGACTTTGAACCATGGGTCATATGAACTTCTTGACTTGTTTTGACCCCCCCTATTAACCATTTCAATAATGACTACCATAACCGTTTACACCTTGTATACTGTGCTTCAATAGTTGTATAGGCATGTCTTTGTCCACTGATAATTTTGGTCTCTCGTCTGTGTACCCTTATACCCTATTTCACGAGTATCCATCACTCTTTGACGTCTACCGAGGTTAACAGCTGATCAGCAAGTGCGTGCGTGCGTACGTGCGCGTGTGTGTGTGTAGGTGTGCGTATGTATTGCATTAGTTGTAGGAAATTCCTACATAATATTTACCAGGGTTGTGGGGACATCATGTACTCCGGCGACATACCCGTGTCCTCACAGTGTTCCGCCAGATAAATGCGAAGTTATTGAATTATTTACCCAAATTTCAAAGTAGGTATATCTATTTCGCGGGCTCCTAGGTGACATTGCGTTTTGGCTCCAGAATCATGTTCAATTATGGTTATAGCAAGGACGGTTACTGTCCCTACAGCGCCGGTAAAATTCATGTGTGCTATACACCAGACTGTTGCAATACTTGTGAGAAAAAAAAATTATCCTGTAAGCTAGCGCCCTCTGCAGTAAATTATTATGCAAGGTCCTGAAACCTGGTTATCCGAAGGCACAGTATATAAACACATTTCTGCTTGAGCTGTGGGGACAAATACTGGGAATGTGAATACTACTCTGATTTTAATGGCAGAAAATATCAAACTAGAGGACAGTCATATTGTTGCTCATTGCAAGTACGGAATGTCAACAAAAAATTGGAAGTTGGAAATGTCAAGACGACGGCTGGGCGGCGCCTTGTGATATTTTCTTAAATTGAGTACTCATGAGTACTGTGTGAATCTAGAATAGAAAATCAGTACGTTTCAAAATGAGGACTGTCAGGTTGTCAAAGTTGAGCGCTTCTTGTACATTAATTGCTTATATCAACAACTAATCATCAAAGCACTATTGTATGTTCTATCAATGTTCATCTATTGGAAGGGTCTATCCGGATATGTAACATTCATCAAAACATTCTCAGTTAAAAGAAAAATGTTGATATAATATACTATAACGTTTAGATGTTATTTTGAGTTATAAGCTATTGAATGTACAATCACGCTTAATGTTGACAGCGTGCCGGTTCGCCAGCTTCAACGGTAGCGATTTCTCATCCTTGGATTATGGAGTATTCATAAGACACCAAGTGGCGCTTACTCGCTATCTTAGAAATTTTAAATGTTATTTTTACGGTACGGTATTCATACGTCAATTAAATCATCCTAATCTCGCTCGCCGACTTGACCCGTTAAAAATAAGTAGAGGTAAAGCTCTGAAATAAAAATACTCGTAGACCTAGGAAAATACGTGTCACTTCGTTTCCGTCGGCCTGTCTTCCTGCCCGCCTATACTTGGACCACCTAAAAGTTGAGAAGTACTATTCGGATTTTGATGAAATTTTCACAAAAGTTACTAATAACACCAAGAACGAAAAAGCTTAATAGTTATAAAATCGGCCAGTTCCGGTGGTGCTTTGGCAAAGCAAAAAAAAAATAAAGATAGATCAAACTTCGTTTTTGGACATTTTAGAGCCTTGGT